ATTACAAACATGGCGCAGACCTCTTTCGGCGCGGTTACGCATCCTCGCGCTTCCTACAAAAGATCTGTCGAAATTGACCACTTGTATCTAGGTCTGATCTTGGCAAAAAAAGGACTAACTTCAAAGCAGATTTCAAAAGTATGCAAAAAGGAAAAAGCAAATTATGGGATCCGTGTCAGCGTTGTATACAATATTACCGGATTGATACACTTCATTGCTCATACAATTTCAATTTTACAATGTGGATTCAACCAACGCTTTAGGGTACAACAGAATTAGAACTTACACACAAAGTCAGCTGAGAACGTCACGTACACGTATAAATCCTTTGAAAAACACATACTTAGGGCCAATTTCGTTTATACACAGAATTGCACCCTTTACTGCCGGCCTGAATGCCAAATTCTAATGATTAACTTAAATGATTTCTGAAATATTAAGTGGCTTTAGGTGGTCGCTTTAACGAAAATAGCCTGGTGAAAAGATACACTGATCAACTAAGTGCAGCGGATTGTATGAAGATTATGTATAGTGTCCTGAAGAGGTACAGACAATTAGAGGTCGAATATAACAAATGGTGAGAATGGAGTGGGCTGCGATTAGTGCTAAGTAAGGCGCAGCAATGGGGCTATTGACGGGCCTGCTAGAGAGTAACTCGTGAACGTTCCCGTGATAAAAAATACAAATTATTTTGGATTAAAAACATCACAATTCATCATATGACAATTTGGCTTATACAATCGCATCAGTAAACCAACTGGTAACTTGGAAGTAAAGGGACAGACCACACCATCATCAGAAGATGAAATAGGGTTAGTTCAGATTACAATGAAGGTGCATCAATGGTTCCGGCTGGTGGCGCGCAGGTACGGTAAAAAATGAGATTGTACTCTTCAAAACCTCCACGGAGATGATCTTCGCTGGAGAAGCATGATTCCGTTGTAAACCCAACACGGAAGCGATATGCAGATTGCAGATAGTTGCCAACCGACAACTCGAAAGTGTCATCCGCCACCTAAATATAATCACATTGAAGTAATAGATAAGCAGCGGTAATTACTTACTTGATTGGCTACAGGGTACTGTAGACGCTCTGCTTTGAAGTTTCCGCTCTGCAGAGGGCAGTACTTGTGCTGGAAGTCTGCCAAGTAGCCACAGTTGTTGATAAGCTTTCCTTTTGGGACTCTGCAAACGAAATTGTCTCACTTGCGACTGAATCTCTAATCCAGAAATTCTAAACCCACGAGAATGTAATCTCTAAAGGAAGCGTTGGAAGGTAAGGTGATACAGGGATGTACATATTGAACCGTCCGCGTTTCTTATTACAGCTTTGTTCAATACAGTAACGATTGTCAATAGTTATATTCAATGTGGGAATCAAGATGCGAACGCCTGTGCCAAGCGGTTTCCTGGGGGAAACATTCGGAGCACTTCGGGCAATCATATTCGTGCGCTCACCCAGAGCGACAATTGCGTCCATCTGTAAGAATCAGGGTTGATTTCATGTAAGAATATGCGTTAATTGGCAGTAACCTCGTTCACTTTACTCCCAGAACGATACACGGCGCGGTCCGCACAACAATACGTGTGACAATGTGTCGAAGGACATGTAGGCATTAACGTTGGCGCATCCGGTTGCAGCATAGGCAGATATGGATGGTCTGGATGGAGAAAGAAGCTCAAATGCTAGTCGACTTACAAATAAATCAAAAGCTCACCCATATGGTATATCATATGTCCAACACCTTCTGTAGAGCCTCCAGCTTTCGTCGATGGCGTAGCGTTTGGCGGATAGAGATGCTGGTAGCCATAATTGCGATTGTGCCAATCAAGAACGTACAGAGCAGACATAGCGATAAGGCAAGCAGCCATAATCACCACAAGGGTAATTATAGTGCCTTGGGTCAATTTCGAGTTGCATAGCGGTTCTTGTGGATGACACTGGGAGCGACAGTTACGGATCTGCATGGCAAGCATCCTGTTGAGGAGCTATAGTACAGAAGAAGGTTCTGTCATACCTTTCGTCTTTCTCTGCTCTCTTTTGCGATGGAAGGTGAAGTGGATGCAAGCGAGGTTCGGGAATAAGACAGATAGCTCTTGTTATCGCTGACGATCCCGGAGGATTGTTCGCTGAGGTTTGAAGCAATCGAGCCTATTAGCTTCTTCCTTCTAGCGTATCTTGCGAGTCGCTGACTGATTTCTTCAACCTAAAAATTGCGCATTCAAAAATGAAAGTTGGTTGACTCATTCAGAGTTTTTAAAAAATCACCTTCTCGTCGATTTTTGTGTCTAGATCGCCCGTTAGTCTACACAATTCCTGCATGGCTAACACAGTTTCATAGAAAATGCGAGATTCGTCGACTGTCAAGTGAGTGCCGATGTCGCGAACAGCATCAGGAATGACCTAAAAGAGGAAAACTTTTCTGTAAACTGAAGTTCAATCGCAGTTAACGTACAGCTTGCAGCTCCTGCGCTATAAGGCCAGTGCGCCTCCTCTGTTCTTCACTAAG